GATAATGGTATGCTTGCATGAAAATACAGTAGAGTGTTCTGGGTTTAATCCCCAGAAGTAATAAGATTTGATTTCTAAAGGATAATTTTTAAAGTTTACTATAAGATGAGATGGTTACCGTGGTGCAATGATATTATTATTTACTTTCATTATAGAGCCTGGGACAGTCACAGTAGTGTAGTAACAAGAGGCTCGCCTGAGGATCAGAAGATTATGGGTTCAAGTCCACACGGTGCCAGATGTTTTTTCATGTCTGCCTCCCAGGTTGACCCAGCCTTAAATGGTTACCAGGTAAAGTCCTGGGAAGTAAAGACAGCCGGCATGATGCTGACAACATCACTTACTGAGTGCCAATTGGTCTAAAAATATAGATCTAACACTATGTGCCCCATATGCCTAAAGGTATGGAAAATGGTCCTATACTTTACTTATTATAGAGTCTGCAACTCATGGGTGTATCAGATGTGTTTATTATTGTAAATATTTGACATTGTTTTCAATTTCTCAGGAAAAAAAACAATATTTCTTTCTATTCTTCAATAGCTCTATAATCTTGTAAAATTTCAGTTTCCTCTTCGCTAATCTTCTCAATTACAATTTTGATGGTGCAGCTGTGTCCAAGATTTTTTCATAGCTCCAACCAGAGCATTTACCGTAATGCAAGAGCACATCAGCCTGCAAATCGTGATTATATCCACAGTAGTGATGTCAAGCATATGGAAGCTCGTTCAAACTTCAGATAATCATTGTGCGGCATTGGAGACTGTGTCTAACTTAGTCTGTCTGTTCTGTGCCACAAGTTTTTCTGTAATCTTCAGTTCCTTTCGGTAAGTTTTCCTTTATCTGGCTGTCACTGTTAACTGGGGGGGGGGGGGGGGATTAACTAAGTGGACTGATCTACAGTGTGTCCCATTTAAAATTACCCATTTTGAGTTGGTGACACTGCAGGAGGGGTAGCTGACAGCAGTGGTTGGGTTTCGTGTGGATTCTGTGACCAATAGAATGTTGGTCCATGCAGCAGCACATATTTTGTGAATCTGCCGTATCCATGCAGCCAGAGCTCATCAGATATTTGGTAAGGGTTGGGAAGGTGGGGCTGCACCTTCAAGAAAAATTACGGGTCAGTGGGTGAATCGGTGGTGTGAGACTGGATCTGTACAGGATGAAGCCTGTACTCACTGAAATGCCGTCTGATCACCTGAAAATATGGAGCATATAAGAACAACCCTGAAGAGGAGTCCATGCCGATCAATGCTGCAGCATTTCCAACTCTTGAATTTGTCAGAGAGAAGTGTGTGATGAATTTTACACCATGATTTGCATTTTCACCCGTGTAAACTGCAAACTGTCCAGGACTGAACTGCTGCACACAAAGAAAGCGTTATGTGTCTGTTGTATTGCCAAAGATGACATAGCTCCACCTCCACCTGCTCTGTAGCAAACTGTACATACTTTATTTGGTGGAATCTATGAAGCATGATCAAATAACCAGTGACTGAATTACATTCAATCCCTCTAGGACCGCATGACAAGCTACCTGGTGACATTAACTGCCACTATTCGGATGAGAATCATTTGAGCCCAAGTCCCAGAAACACCATTCAACCCATAGGTTATTTTTGAGGCTCCTAAATGGCAGCCACGGTGGGGCTTTAAAATAGGTTGAAAAAAATGGTGTCCTATTTTTGGACAGGGATCATAAAGAAAATTATCAACTATAAAGTGTAAAGTGGTAGTGTTACATGAGGCATAATCATTTATATATATAAATATATTTATAATATATATATATATATATATATATATATATATATATACAAGCATTATTCTACTGGGGTCACAAAACAGCAATATATATTTTAAAACTTTGCTTTTGTTGAAAAGTCTAAATAAAATCACCTTTGTCAGAGCCTGAAATATCATTATCTTTCAGTTTAAAACTTTTATAACAGATCTTGAAATAAAATAACTTTTTCAGGTTAAAGTTTTGTTAGAGCCAAGCATAAAATAATTTTGTTGTGACCCCCTGACTATTTCTCTGCATTAACTTTGTGTGATTGCTGTACACCTATGTGATGTTCAATTTCCAGCAGTAAAGTCATTTCATTGTTAAATCACAGGTTGATCACTGTCCTCTTCTTAAAGTCCATGCATTGGTAGTCATGTCTATCCACAACCTTCTGTCACCTGAACTTTCAATCAACTCTGACATAGATGATCCCCCATCCCCTGATGTCAGACTCTGATATTTTCTTTCTTGGTCTACCTCTGCCTCTTTTGCCTGCCAACTTGCCAATAATCACGTTGTACTCCAGTTTTCTCCTTCTCCTGACAAGACCAAAGAATGTAGATTGCCTCTTTCTGATGTGGCCAGTCAGTTCTATTTCTCACCTCACATGACAAGGAAATATTGCATAGAGCATTCTTTATTTTGTAAAATGCTGCCTTTGCTTAAGCCATTCATTCTACAATTAACTTCTTTAATACACTTTCCACCTGATGTTATCAGGGTACCCAAGTACCTGGACTCATCCGTTTGTATGAGAACTGTTCCATTTACTTTGATGTGTCATTTCGGAAGGGTCCATTTTCTTTGTAATTATTATTACTTGTGTTTTTCTGCTATTCAAACTAAGACCTGTTTTGACTTTCTGTTACAATTATGTCCCTTATTTCTTGCAGTCATGTTTAATTTTCAGCGATCAAAACTATATCTTCAGCATACTGCAGGTTGTTTATATTATGCCCACAACCAGTATTCCTGGCATACCATGTATGTATATAATTATAACTTACAGGTCACAAAAGACCGATATATGTTCAGACAGAGTGTTTATTGTTCAGGGTCTACAAAAGAAGCCTCAAGCTGTAGTCCTGACTTTAACTATATTCAGGTATTTCTTCCTCGACTGTTGCACTGTGATCACCGATCATGCATAATGTGCTGTTTCATTTTCTACAACAGTTCTGTTCAACTGGCAGCCCATGAATCACAGCCAGTTGTAATATATTACAGATCTTTCTATGCTAGAACTCAGGCTTCTGGTCTGTGGCTATCCCTATTTTCAAAACTGTGGCCCTTAACCCTACCAGACCTGAGGCCCTGAACCTAAATGTCCCTATAACCTGAGCTCCTGGGCACTAACACGCAAAAAAACCAACATGATGTAAAAAAAAATTAGTTACATGCAAACAAGTGGTTAGAATAAGAATAAATTTGGAGACATTGTAGAAAATAGGTTTACCTTTCATCTAGCGCCAATCTTCCCCCTTTGTGTGCCAATCCACCTAGTAGGATCAGCCTTGATTCGCAAAGTAAGCACCAGATGTTGCTGTTTGAGGGACACGCCCCTTCCTCTTACTGACTATCGATCTAGTTTTAAATCTATAATTTTCATAATTCTCCTCCTCACTCTAGCTCTCACTGACTGTGTCACTTCAAATGGGACCGTATTCTTTATGAACGTATTAACAGTCTGAATTAACCAAAGTATCGATCATTTGTTGGACTGTGATAAGCCTAGACCTACTTTCTTGTCAAGCCGCTGGTTTCATTGAGAATTGCCCGTATTTTTTTCACATCAAACCACACAAAGAAATCTCAACACACGTCAGAAGTCATTTGCAATGACTAACAACCAAGTCTGATGGCGATTGGCTGGTTATTTTTAGTCTGTGACGCATATTTGTCATGTACTACGTAAATTCCCGGAAAAGGGGGCCAGCCATCTGGTAGGGTTAAGTTGAAGAGCCCTGTTTTACAGAAAGCTTAATCACTAATAATTGACTGTTTAATCACTTTCAGGTGACAAAACAGCAAGGCTTGCTTGTTTGAAGAAAAAAAATGATCACATTCAAGCAACTTATAAAAGCTTTCTGTTATAGATGTTATCTTTATATGGTTATCTTTCATGATAATGGTGCTTCTTGAATTCTTATTGGGTATCTTTGTTGAATATTTTATATGTAATAACAGTGCTTCCTGAATATATACTGGATGCTTTTCATCCATGTACATTGTAGCTTTTTAATAAGGCTCCTACTGTTGGTCATTCAGTGTGATTTAGTTTTGTGATTTAGTCCCTACCAGAACATATTTTAGTGGGGTACTTCCCAGATGTGCACACCTGCTGCAAGACTTTCCCCATCTTGTTGTCCTTGGTACCAGATACTTTCATGCATAATGTTCATTGTCAGAACCTAGAATCAATAAATAATCATTGTGTTCCATGACTTTCATTTTATTCAGAATTTCATTGCGGGTTAGTGCATTGCTATCACTGTTATAAGAATGATGCAGTGTTTTGAATTTATACAGTAAAGAATAATCACCGATATGTAAGTTTTATCCCTTCATTTCATAAAGTATATTTATTTTTCTGTCAGTCACAAACAAGCAAACAAATTAATTGTGTTCAATGACTTTCACATTGTAGTTCAGCATTTCTTCAAGGAATGGAGCACTGTGGTACTTGTACAAATATGTCTTTTAAATTTCTATAGCAAGACATAATTACTGATCAGTGACTTGTTGGTTGGTCATTGTTCCCCTCCAGGATTGCCATCCACTGGATTAAAACCTCATTGATGAAAATCCAACAGGACCAATTCTAAGAAACCATCTTCAAAAGTTTAAAATTCCTTTTAGGGCACCCCTATAATTTGAAGTAACCTGCAATCAAACGTAGGGATGGGATGAAATGAAAGAATGGTTTATTTTATGCATAGTTGTTATTGTCAGAGTCAAAAATAAAATCAACTAATTATGCCCATTTTACTTCCACTATCAGCATGACAAAAATTGTAATTATCAGGGTCTGTATAGAATCATCAGTAATTCCTGACTTTACCACTGAATGTTAAGTCATTTATGCTGTGTGTTGCATTATTATCACTATACACACAAAAAATTATGCAGTCTTTCAAATGTCTACAGTAAAGTGTTATCACTTATAATTCACTCTTGTATCACTTTCGAATCATAAAACAGCAGTATATACTCAGTCAACATTTTTATTGTCGGAGGTCTGAATAAAATTATTAAGTTGTGTCCCCTGGCTTTCAAGGTCTATGTTGAGCATTTCTTCCTGAGTGGTTTGATCATTGTATAAGTTCCTCATTGCATTATTTGTGGTCTCGTCTTCAAACTGAGACTGGCCAAACACTTCATCATAGAAATATTCTTGTCTTCCTGCCTGTAAGTCAGCGTTGTCATCAAAGTCCTCAATGGTAAACATGTCATCTGTGTTGTCAGCTGCTTGTTTTGGTCTGACTGTGGTCTCCATCTCATCCAGTTCTGCTAGAGCTCTTCTGCTGCCAGAGATTGAAGATTTCTTGGATCGTATAATGGGTTTCCAGCAAGATGATATGGCGGACAGTTTCCTGAAATGTGAGGAGTGATTTGAGAAACTTTGGAAAGTGATATTCAGTAGAATAAGATATTTAACTAAAACAGTCAGAAACAGAGTTTATTAAGAGCTAGGAAATTAAAAGATTAAAAAGAAACTGGCAATATTTTCTGGCCAAAGGAGGTAGCTAGATTAAAACAGCTGGATCGGTGATATTGTGCTACATGATCAGGGCAGTGGATGTCCATGATATTGTGCTACATGATCAGGGCAGTGGATGTCGGTGATATTGTGCTACATGATCAGGGCAGTGGATGTTGGTGATATTGTGCTACATGATCAGGGCAGTGGATGTTGGTGATATTGTGCTACATGATCAGGGCAGTGGATGTTGGTGATATTGTGCTACATGATCAGGGCAGTGGATGTCCATGATATTGTGCTACATGATCAGGGCAGTGGATGTCGGTGATATTGTGCTACATGATCAGGGCAGTGGATGTCCATGATATTGTGCTACATGATCAGGGCAGTGGATGTTGGTGATATTGTGCTACATGATCAGGGCAGTGGATGTTGGTGATATTGTCCTACATGATCAGGGCAGTGGATGTTGGTGATATTGTGCTACATGATCAGGGCAGTGGATGTCCATGATATTGTGCTACATGATCAGGGCAGTGGATGTCCATGATATTGTGCTACATGATCAGGGCAGTGGATGTTGGTGATATTGTGCTACATGATCAGGGCAGTGGATGTTGGTGATATTGTGCTACATGATCAGGGCAGTGGATGTCCATGATATTGTGCTACATGATCAGGGCAGTGGATGTCCATGATATTGTGCTACATGATCAGGGCAGTGGATGTCCATGATATTGTGCTACATGATCAGGGCAGTGGATGTCCATGATATTGTGCTACATGATCAGGGCAGTGGATGTCGGTGATATTGTGCTACATGATCAGGGCAGTGGATGTTGGTGATATTGTGCTACATGATCAGGGCAGTGGATGTTGGTGATATTGTGCTACATGATCAGGTGATCAGGGCAGTGGATGTTGGTGATATTGTGCTACATGATCAGGGCAGTGGATGTCCATGATATTGTGCTACATGATCAGGGCAGTGGATGTCCATGATATTGTGCTACATGATCAGGGCAGTGAATGTCAGTGATATTGTCCTACATGATCAGGGCAGTGGATGTCGATGATATTGTGCTACATGATCAGGGCAGTGGATGTCCATGATATTGTGCTACATGATCAGGGCAGTGGATGTCCATGATATTGTCCTACATGATCAGGGCAGTGGATGTCGGTGATATTGTGCTACATGATCAGGGCAGTGGATGTCGGTGATATTGTCCCAACTTATTGTCACTAACCCCTACATCATGGCTATTCAACTTTTCCCAGGGACAAATTTGTAAAAAAAAATTAGCGATCGTCAGAAGATAATTAACACAAAACAAACAAAGATGATCCATGGGCCACTTGCTAGGGATTCATGGGCTAGATGACCAATTGAATAGCCCTGTCCTACATGATCAGGACAGTCAATGACCTCGTCTTAACTAAGTGACATGCAATACTCTCATTTTAAGTATGCTCTAGGCTCATCAAGCAGGGGATGAATTATCTGAAAGGTGAAAAGTTCTGATTGCCTACGACAACTGACAGACATTGTTCCTCTTTTCAGCACATGTTATGCGCTCTTCTGGCAAATGCTTAGCCATCAGTTTTCATAATAGTTCCACAACTCCGTTTATCATTACCTCCTTTCTTTAGTTTATTAAATCAGTCTGCTTAGTGATCATAGGAGCAATAAACTATACAGAACCACAGATATAATATATCATTCTGATGTGAAGAGAACAGGGCAGCAGAGAGTGACCGGATGATCTGGCTGAAGCTCTACACTCAGAGGAAAGGCAAAATAGACATACAGTCAGACTGTTACTGGTACCATCGGCACTGAAACTCTTTGCTTGCTGCTGAAAATAAGAATGGAATATCCCAAGTGCTGCGATGTCAGTTCTTGACACAATCCAACTCTAGTGATTCATGAGAATTATCATGACAGCACTCTGGGCAGATTGTTAGATCCTGTGTGAAATCCTAACTCTTTTTCACTTGAAAACTTAGTAATGTTAAAGTTATAGAAGAATCGGCTTCACTGCACAGGGTTTCATCCCTTACGACTCAGGCTCTTTCTGTGTAACAGGCCGTCTGTGTGAATCTCACACACAGGACACGAACACCTTAGCTCCAGTGACAATCCCCAGGGTTGCTGCAAAATTTACACATTATCTAATAAATACACCCAGAGCGGGGGAAAACGGCTTGACCACTTCACCAAGGAGCATGATGTACATTCCAAAAAAAAGAAACAACATAAACAGCTACCTTTTTCTTTTGAGGTGCAAGTAGCCAAACACAAGGGCAGCAGCAATGGCTGCCAATATCAGTGTCAGAGCCACCACCGTTCCAGCTACATGTGATTCTGAGGGAGGAAAGGTATTAAGAAGGCATTAAAAAAGGCAAAAAATCTTGAATGTGACAGATATTGTACTGAAGTGGTTTGGACACCTAACAAGAATGCCCTGGTACTATCTGCCACAGCAAGCCACCCTAAAATGTTACATCAGGTACAGAGTGAGTGGAAGACCTAGGAAAATATGGAGTGACGGCATTAAATGAACATCAGTCTTAATAGTGCTCTTGACAGAGCTCATTAACTAATGTTACATCTCCCCCTGAGAGTTTGCTGAGGTACAAGGTGGAAGAGAAGAAGAAGAGAAGAAGAAGAGAAGAAGTGCATGAAATTAGGAGATTATGTGTATAAGTGTGGAAAGGGAGTGTTCTGAGTGCAGCATTTGTTTGTGTTCATTTGCTGTAAACTCAGGCAGAAAGTCCATGTTGTTGACTGCAGTACATGGGAAAAGGGGGGGGGGTGTGTGTGTGGCCTGTGTGTGTGTGTGTGTGTGCGTGCATATGTAACATCTGTTGTATTTGGTGTACAGGTGTGTGTCACATATGTTGCACTGCAGTAAATTACTGTGTTAGTAGATATATGTGTATTTGTGTCTAATTGTGTAGTATTTATGTGTGGTTTTGTTTATTTATTTATGTACGTCATTGCTGCAACATTCATGTTTGTTATATTGTGAAGCTTGCTGATATACTTTTCATTCGGTTTTAAATCTTTGCTTAATACATAGGTGAGTGTGTCACACATTTTGTATTGTAGTACATTACTATAGATTTATACTGTAATACACATGTGTGAGTGTCATATGTGTTGTACTGTATTACATAACTGTGTTAATCTAATTTACTACTGTAATACATAGGTGTGTGTGTGTGTCTCTCTGTGTGTGTCACTTGTCTGTCATGTATGTAAACCTGTCGTGGCACACGAGTGTGTATCACAGAGTACTGCAGTACATAGGTTTGTTTCACCACTGCACTGTAATACTGTATTAATAATGTATTTGTCATAAAGGCAGTGAAAAATGTAGATTTGTGTCACTGGTGGACTGTAGAACAGTGGTTTGTATCACTAGTGTACTTTACAATAGTGGTTTGTGTCACTGGTGTACTGTAGAACACTTCTTTGTGTTACTGGTGTACAAAAGTAAATGTGCATGTCATAGATGTAGTGTAGTATATAGGTGTATGTCAGAGATGTAGTGTAGTATATAGGTGTATGTCAGAGATGTAGTGTAGTATATAGGTGTATGTCAGAGATGTAGTGTAGTATATAGGTGTATGTCAGAGATGTAGTGTAGTATATAGGTGTATGTCAGAGATGTTGTACTATAGAACACTGGTTTACTGCAGAACACTGGTTTATCTCACTGCTGTACTGTAGACACTGGTTTATCTCACTGCTGCACTGTAGAACACTGGTTTATCTCACTGCTGCACTGTAGAACACTGGTTTATCTCACTGCTGTACTGTAGACACTGGTTTATATCACTGCTGTACTGTAGAACACTGGTTTATATCACTGCTGTACTGTAGACACTGGTTTATATCACTGCTGTACTGTAGACACTGGTTTATATCACTGCTGTACTGTAGAACACTGGTTTATATCACTGCTGTACTGTAGACACTGGTTTATATCACTGCTGTACTGTAGAACACTGGTTTATATCACTGCTGTACTGTAGACACTGGTTTATATCACTGCTGTACTGTAGAACACTGGTTTATATCACTGCTGTACTGTAGAACACTGGTTTATATCACTGCTGTACTGTAGACACTGGTTTATATCACTGCTGTACTGTAGAACACTGGTTTAAACCACTGCTGTACTGAAGAACACTGGTTTATGTCACAGGTGTATAATGTAGAGCAACGGTTTATGTCACTGATGAACTGTAGAACACTGGTTTGTGTTACTGCTGTACCATAGTAAACATGTACGAGTGTATGTCACAGATGTACTGTAGTATGTAAGTGTATGTCAGAGATATTGTACTGTAGAACATAGGTTTGTGTCCTTATTCTGCTAAAGTAGATAGGTGAAAATATGGGGGTGACTGCAGTCAAGCTAATACAAGGAATTGCAGGGAAATTTGACTAAAAAGCTTAACCAAATGGGGAAGCAGAAAAACGTGAACAAAACAACACAAATAACATAACGTTTTGGCCGGGCAGCCTTTGTCAAACATGAAGTGAACTACACAAAGGTAATAACGAGGAGAGTATACATGTCTCTAAGGGCTGCAGTGAGCAACGTTTTAAAAATTGTGATGTGGAATAAATCAAATAAAATAAAATAAACGATGGCCAAAAAAAATAGTGGCAAAAAATAAAAAGTAATATTGTTAATATATAATACAATAGTGGGAACAAAAGAAATACAAATGTTAATGATACATAAATGATACTGATAAGAGGTAGAATAAAGTAATAATATGAAAAAAAAAAAAAAGAAATAATTAACATTTAAAATGTGATAAGAGTAAAACTGTTTAGATCTATGTATACTCTCCTCTCCTCGTTGTTACCTTTGTGTAGTTCACTTCATGTCTGACAAAGGCTGCTTCCCCATTTAGTTCAGCTTTTTAGTCAAATTTCCCTGAAATTCTTTGAAGTAGATAGGTGTTTGTCACAGAGGAACTGTAGAACATAGGTTTGTGTCATTGTTTTACTTTAGTAGATAGGTGATTGTCACAGATGAACTGTAGAACATAGGTTTGTGTCATTGTTTTACTGTAGTAGATAGGTGATTGTCACAGATGAACTGTAGAACATAGGTTTGTGTCATTGTTTTACTGTAGTAGAAAGGTGTTTGTCATAAATGTACTGTAGCATACAGGCATATATCACAGATGCTGTGCTACAGTTCATTAGTACAAATCACAGATGTTGTACACGAGTACATGGGCAGGTGATGGCTTTTACAGTCATACATTTCTATGCTGACCTTGATCATGGGAAGTAGAAGCTGCTACAAGTGAGGTGGCCTTGCTGGTGTCATTGTAATCAACAGCTTGTGTTGAGCTCAGATTCCAAGGTCTGGTGACAGTGTTGGAGAACTGGCCAGTGTAGCCGCTGGTGTTTGAAGGTGCATCACTGGGTGATTCTGGCATTATGACCATAAGATGCAGCTTCACGTGATGGGGAGAGAATTCATGGTAATGCGCAAGATCAGACAGTGTCCAATCACCTCATTACAATCTGTGGAATAGTACCAATCATCTCATTACAATCTGTGGAATAGCAGAGACATTAATGACCTGTTAACACTTGCAGTCCCAGGCACAAAAATACTGAAGAAACATCAATTGCATTTCAGTTTTACAGGACCAGTTTACAGCAAACAAACAAAGGACATTGCAGTGATGAACTTTCAGCAGCAGAACATAAATGAGAAGCAAAGCACAAAGACTTCCTGCCCTGTCGCTGCGGGGTATTCTAACAATAGAGAAAAGAAGAAAAAGATGAAGATGACATAAAGCTGAGTATAGATACTTGGATAATGTCTGCTGGAAGGTGTATCATGGAGATTTAGATATCATAGAGATTTACAAAAGAATGTCCCTAGAAAAACCGACAATTAAAATGATTGTAAAACAAAGATTCCCAGACAGAAAGACAGAAAGCAGAGTAGCAAAATACTTGTAAGATAATGAGGACAGGTGAGAAAGAGCTGACAGGGAAGAAATTAGGAGAAGAGCTAGCAGAAAAAAAAACCCAACGGGGAAAGTGGATTAACCAGAAGAAAAGAAAAACACTTTGAGGACAAAGATAATAATCAATGAAATGAGAGAAGTTATAGAAAAGAAGAGGCAACATAAAAAGAACCTTTTCCACATATTTAGGTATCAAGGGCTAGACCTATGTTGTATAGATCAACCAACATTTGGTGTGTGATGTGATCAACATCACGTCGGCCACCTTTACTTCCCATGACTTTACCTGCTACACATTTAGGTTGGGTCAACTTAGGAACAAAGGTCTTTCTTTTTTAAACTGGCTCCGTTGGGATTTTAACTCACGACCTTTGGATCCGCAGCAGTCAAATGTCTAGATGCTACACCATGGCGGCTCCCTTGAGACAACAGGAGAGAGAGAGAGATAAAGATGAATAGAGAGAACTGAGAGAACGATGAAGAAGAGAGAAAAACGATTTGGAATTGTGTTTATGAGAGAAGTATGTGATAATCTTACAATCTTCCACTGGGGTGGGGGGGAATCGGTGTGATAATCACATTTGGATGTATTGTGTTTATGTTCAAAACTTAAAGGGTCTTGGGATATAGTTTCCTCCTCAGTTCTTCATTTGTGATCATGTCTGGCCAAAATATTCGTAGAATTCTTAAACATTTATTTTGAAGCGTCTCAAGTTTATGTGTAATTCCCGCTGTCATTTTCCAGCATTCACTGATGTATAATAGTATTCCTAAAATGTTGCTCTTATATATTCTAAATTTTGTATTCAAACTAAATCCCTTTTACTTTTATATATTATTAAGCGTGGAAAATGCTAGATTTGCTTTGTTTATTCTTGCTGTTAAATAATAGCTAATAGCCATTTTATATGGCGTACATAACCTAATCACAATTATAACTAAAGCTCCCACTTCGGAAAGGCTGGATGAAATCCCCCCCCCCCCCCCCAGCAAGGCACTTACCTACGTCTCAAATTCGACAGAGGAGGCCTGCGTGGTCTCGAGGCATGGTGTCCGCCTCTAGTGTTAGAGGTTACGGGTTAAATCCTCGTTAAGGGCTGGGATTTTTTTCACGTGGACTTGGACTTCTAGCAATTCCCCTGGTCTCTGGGTAGTGAGATCTGACGCCCGTGCGCATTGTTGAGCACTTAAAAAATCCCTTGGCAGTTGGAAATCGAAAAGAGTAGCCTAACGGTGCTGCCCGGGCTAAATTTGGAGCTATAAATCTACCCAAATTATTTCAGGATCCTCGCTGGTGCTACAGAGCTTGTGCACTGTGATGAGCTTCTTCGGACTCAGACTTGAGTTAGA